CAAGAGAGACATAAAAAGGTAAATGGGACAGAAAGATACAATATGTTATTAATAAAGGCAAAATGTTTACATCTCTACAAGGGAAGATGACACTTGCAATTCTTGAGAATTATATTGTTATTATACCATGTTAAAGGAGTATACATAAAGGGGATGGATATAAGTTGATTTTGATGTAATGATAAAAAAAAATTTAATCAAGCAGGTTACATGGATCCAAGTAAGTGGATTAGTCTGAGCTAAGAAAATGTACTGAGAAAGGAGGAGGCAGACAAGGGTAAATTACATTACAGGAAAAGACACAAAAACCTATTAGAGCAGAGGTAAAGAAGGTAGGAGGATGAGCATTGTTTGAACCTTACTCTCATATTTGGTTCAAGAAGGGAATAACATAATCAGTTAGGTATAGAAATCTAACTTGCACTATAGGTAGTAGGAGGGGAAAGGGGAAAGAAAAGGGAGGGGGGATAGAAGGGAGGGAAGAAGCAGTAAAGGTAAAGGGGAAGAAAAGGGAAAGGGATAATAGAAAGGAGGTGGGACCCTAAGAGGCACTGGTCAAAAACAAAACACTAGTGAGGGGGGGAAAGGAGAAAGGAGAAAGAAAAGCATAAACGGTGGGGGGGGAGGGATGGAGAAAAAGACACAGATAGTAATCATAACTGTAAATGTGAATGGGATGAACTCTCCCATAAAACGGAAGCAGATAACAGATTGGATTAAAAACCATAATCCTACAATATGTTGTTTACAGGAAACACATTTGAAAAAGAGTGACACATACAGGGTAAAGGTAAAAGGCTGGAGCAAAATATATTATGCTTCAGCTGAATTAAAAAAAGCAGGGGTAGCAATCCTGATCTCAGACAAAGCAAAAGCAAAAATAGATCTTATCAAAAGAGATAAGGAAGGAAACTACATCCTGCTAAAAGGCACCACAGACAACGAAGTAATATCATTACTAAACATATATGCACCAAATGGTATAGCATCCAGATTCTTAGAGGAGAAGTTCAGGGAGTTACAGGAAGAAATAGACAGTAAAACTATACTCGTGGGGGACCTCAACCTCCCCTTCTCTGAACTAGATAAATCTAACCACAAAATAAACAAGAAAGAAATTAAGGAGGTGAATAGAACATTAGAAAAGTTAGGTATGATAGACCTGTGGAGAAAACTTAATGGAGATAGAAAGGAATATACTTTTTTCTTGTTGGTACATGGCACATACACAAAAAATGACCATGTACTAGGGCATAAAAACCTCACAATCCAATGCAGAAAGGCAGAAATAGTAAATGCATCCTTTTTGGATCATGGTGCAATAAAAATTATATGTAATAAAGGGCCATGGAAAGATAGACTAAAAAATAATTGTAAACTAAATAATCTAATCCTAAAAAATGATTGGGTCAAAGAACAAATCATAGAAACAATCAATAATTTCATTCAAGAGAATGACAATAATGAGACAACATACCAAAACCTATGGGATGCAGCAAAAGCAGTTCTTAGGGAAAGTTTTATATCTCTAAATGCTTATATAAATAAAATAGAAAAAGAGGAGATCAATGAATTGGGCATACAACTAAAAAAACTAGAAAAAGAACAAATTAAAAATCCTCAATTAAACACCAAATTAGAAATATTGAAAACCAAAGGAAAATTAATAAAATTGAAATTAAGAAAACTATAGAACTAATAAATAAAACTAAGAGCTGGTTTTATGAAAAAGCCAATAAAATAGATAAACCTTTGGTTAATCAAATTTAAAAAAAGAAAGAAGAAGACCAAATTACTGGTATCAAGAATGAAGAGGGTGAAACTACCACCAAAGAAGAGGAAATTAAAACAACAATTAGGAATTATTTTGCCCAATTGTATGCCAACAAATTTGACAATCTTAGTGAAATGAATATATATTTACAAAAATATAAATTGCCCAGATTAACAGAAGAGGAAATAAAATACTTAAATAACCCCATTTCAGAAAAAGAAATTGAACAAGTCATTGATGAACTCCCTAGGAAAAAATCTCCAGGGCCAGATGGTTTTACATGTGAATTCTATCAAACATTTAAAGAACAATTGATTCCAATACTATATAAACTATTTGGGAAAATAGGTAAAGAAGGAATCTTACCAAATTCTTTTTATGATACAAATATGGTGCTGATGCCTAAACCAGGAAGAGTCAAAACAGAGAAAGAAAATTATAGACCAATTTCTCTAATGAATATAGATGCAAAAATTTTAAACAAAACATTAGCAAATAGATTACAGCAACTTATCACATGAGTAATACATTATGACTAGGTAGGATTTATACCAGGAGTGCAGGGCTGGTTCAATATAAGGAAAACTATCAGCATAATCCATCATATCAACACCAAAACTAACAGAAACCACATGATCATCTCAATAGATGCAGAAAAAGCTTTTGACAAAATTCAACACCTATTCCTATTAAAAACACCAGAGAGCATAGGTATAAATAGAGTCTTCCTTAAAATAATAAATAGCATCTATCTAAAACCTTCATCAAACATAATATGTAATGGGGACAAGCTAGAAGCATTTCCAATAAGATTGGGGGTGAAACAAGGATGTCCATTATCATCACTGTTATTCAACATCCTACTGGAAACAGTAGCTTTAGCAATAAGAGAAGAAAAAGACATTGAAGGCATTAGAATAGGCAAAGAAGAAACAAAGCTATCACTTTTTGCAGATGACATGATGTTATACTTAGAGAATCCCAGAGAATCAAGGAAAAAACTACTTGAAATAATAAACAACTTTAGCAAAGTTGCAGGCTATAAAATAAACCCACATAAATCATTGGCATTTCTATATATTAACAACAAAGCCCAAAAGCAAGAGCTAGAAAGAGAAATTCCATTTAAACTTACTGTAGACATTATAAAATATTTAGGAGTGTACCTCCCGAAACAAACCCAGGAACTCTATGAACACAATTACAAAACACTTTTCACACAAATAAAATCAGATCTAAAAAATTGGAAAAACATCAGTTGCTCATGGGTAGGCCAAGCTAATATAATAAAAATGACAATTCTATCTAAGCTAACTTACTTATTCAGTGCCATGCCAATCAAACTACCAAAAAATTATTTTATAGAGTTAGAAAAAATAATAACAAGATTCATTTGGAAGAACAAAAGGTCCAGAATATCAAGAGAACTAATGAAAAGAAATGCAGGGGAAGGTGGCCTAGCCATTCCAGATCTTAAATTGCATTATAAAGCAGCAATCATCAAAACTGCTTGGTACTGGCTAAGGAATAGAGTGGTGGATCAGTGGAATAGGTTAAGTAAGCAAGACACAGTAGTCAATGACTATGGTAATATACTATTTGATAAACCCAAAGACTCCAGCTTCTGGGATAAGAACTCACTCTTTGAAAAAAAACTGCTGGGAAAACTGGAAAAGAGTATGGCAGAAACTAGGCATAGACCAAAATCTCATACCATATACCAAAATAAAGTCAAAATGGGTACATGATTTAGATATAAAGGCTGATACTATAAGCAAACTGAGAGAGTAAGGAATAGTTTACTTGTCAGATCTATGGAGAACAGAAGAATTCATGACCAAACAGGAGATAGAGAACATTACAAAAAGCAAAATAGATAATTTTGATTACATTAAATTGAAAAGTTTTTGCACAAACAAAGCCAATGAAACTAAGATTAGAAGGAAAGTAGAAAATTGGGAAAGAATTTTTACGACCAGTCTCTCTGATAAGGGCCTCATTTCTAAAATATATAGAGAATTAAGTCAAATTTATAAGAATACAAGCCATTCCCCAATTGATAAATGGTCAAAGGATATGAACAGACAGTTCTCAGATGAAGAAATTAAAGCCATCTATAGTCATATGAAAAAATGCTCTAAATCACTATTGATTAGAGAAATGCAAATCAAAACAACTCTGAGGTACCACATCACACCTATCAGAATGGCCAACATGACAAAACAGGAAAATGATAAATGTTGGAGAGAATGTGGTAAAATTGGAACACTAATGCATTGTTGGTGGAGTTGTGAAATGATGCAACCATTTTGGAGAGCAATTTGGACCTATGCCCAAAGGGCTATAAAAATGTGCATACCCTTTGACCCAACAATAGCACTTCTAGGGCTATATCCCAAAGGGATCACACAAATGGGAAAAGGACCTACATGTACAAAAATATTCATAGCAGCTCTTTTTGTGGTGGCAAAGAATTGGAAATTGAGAGGATGCCCATCAGTAGGGGAATGGCTGAGCAAGTTGTGGTATATGAATGTGATGGAATATTATCGTGCTATAAGAAATGATGAACAGGCTGACTTCAGAAAAACCTGGAAAGACTTGTATGGTCTGATGCTGAGTAAAGTGAGCAGAACCAAGAGAATGCTGTACACAATAACAGCCACGTTGTGTGATGACTAATATTGATAAACTTAACCCTTCCTGGCAATACAAGGATCTAAGACATCTCCAGAGGCCTTATGTTGGAAAATGCTATCCACACCCAAGGAAAGAACTATGGAAGCTGAATTGTTATTTTTTTTCTCTTCTGTTGAGTTTTGTTTCCTCTTTCTGTTGGTTCCTCGTATTGGTTTTAATTTCTACTTAGAACATCACTAATGTGAAAATATGTTTCATATGAATGTAAATTCATAGCCTATATCAGATTGTGCGCCGTCTTGGGGAGGGTGGTGGGGAGGAAGGGGGAGAAAAATTTTAAACTCAAAAGCGTATGGAAGTGATTATTGATAAATCAAAATAAATTAATAAAAAAAGAATGGATTGTTAAACAACAACAAAAAAACCTTTCTTTCTCTTTATTTCATCTCCTTCCTTCCTTCTCTCCCTTTTTCCTTTCCTCCTGCCTTCCCTTCTTCCCTCTATTTCTTTCTTCCTTCCCTTTTTCTTAATCTTTTTTCTTGGTACCAAACCCTGCATTTCCACTTAATTCTTGGCCTTGACTTACCTTCTCCACCTCCACCTGCCCTCCCCCAGGGCCCCTCCCTGCCACGCGACTCCTCCTGGTTGTCACTCTCCTCCTCCTCCTCCCGCTCCCTGCCCTGTGCAGGCGCCCAAGGTACCAGGGCAAAGGAGGGGAGGCTCATCTCGAGCTCCATGAGGCCAATGTCCCCAAAGACACACGGGCGTCCTGGAGCACGAGGCCAGTGCCTGGGTCTTGGTGCACCCTAAAATTTTAGGGATGTTGTATCATTATTCTTCTCTTCAACACAGTTGTTAATTGTTTCTATGATTTGTGCTTGGATCCATTCATTCAGGATATCATTACCAAGTCTCAGAATTTGGCTTTTATTCCCTGTATTAATTATTACTTTTATTTCATTATGGTCTAAAAGAGTGTGCTTCCTATTTCAGCTTTTTTCATAATTGTTTATAATTTTTGTCCCCATTGTCTACTTTTGTAAAGGTACCAAGAAATGCTCAGAATATGCATTTCCTCTAGTGTTCCTATTCAAAATATGGAATTCATCTTTCTTTTCTTTAAAAAAAATTTACTTTTCTTGTATTTTGAGTTCTATCGCCCTCCTTTTCAATCCCACACTACATAAGATCAACATTTGACACACATATGTATGTGAAACCGTACAATACATATTTCCATGTATCAGTTCTTCCTCTAGGGGTGGATAGCACCTTCCTTCGTAAGTTCATTGCAGTTGATTTTAATATTCATGTTACTCAGAATAGTTGAATCATTCACAGTTACTCTTTAAACAATCTTGCTGTTACTGTATACAACCTTCTCTTGGTTCTGCTCATTTCACTGCCAATTATTTCATGCAAGTCTTTCCATGTTTTTCTAAAACTAACCTGCTTGTCACTTCTTACAGCACAGTAATATTCCATCACAATCATATGCCACAACTCATTCAGCCATGATACAATTGAGGGGCGTCCCCTCAATTTCCAGTTCTTTGCCACTACACAAAGAGCTGCCATAAATATTTTAGAAAATATAGCTCCTTTTCCTTTTCCCCCAATCACCTTGAGAGAAAAACCTAGTAGTGGTATGTTTGGTCAAAGACTGTAGACAGTATTATAGCTCTTTGGACATAATTCCAGATTGCTCTCCAAAATGTTTGGATCAGTCCACAGTTCTATCAGCAGTGTATTGGTGTCCCGATTTTTCCAGATCCCCTCCAACATTTGTTATTTTCCCCTTCTATCATTTTAGCCAGTCTGATAGGTATGAGATGGTACCTCAAAATAGTTTTAATTTGCATTTCCTAATCAATTATGATTTAGAGCATTTTTTAATATGACTAAATATAGCTTTGATTTTTTTCCTCCAAAAACTGCCTGTTTATATCCTTTGGCCATTTACCAGTTGGGGAATGACTCATATTCATATAAATTTCACAGATTTCTCCATATATTTGAGATGTGAGGTCTTTATCTGAGAAACTTTGCATAAATCCCCCCTCAATTTTGTTTTCCTTCTAATCTTGGGTACACTGGTTTTATTTGTACAAACCTTTTTTAATTTAATATAATCAAAGTTATCCATTTCATATCTCACAAGACTCTCTATCTCTTGTTTATTCATAAATTATCCTCTTATCCATAAATCTGATGGGTAGTATGTTACATGTTGTTGTCATGTACCTAGGATATATCCCTTTATGTGTAGGTCATATATCCATTTTGACCTTATCTTGGTAAATGGTGTAAGATATTGGGCTATACCTAGTTACTGCCAGACTGCTTCCAGTTTTCCCAACAAATGTTATCAAATAGTGAATTCTTATCCCCCAAACTTAAATCTTTACATTTATCAAACACAAGGTTTTTATAATCAGCATTAGTCTTTGAAATCTAATTTGTCCTATGGTCATATCAGTTTTATGTTTTCCTAATTTCTCTTTCTATTAGCTTTATCCTGTTCTGTGAAACACATTAAAGTCTACAATTGTTAGATTATTTTTTGGGGGGTCTGTTTTCTGTCCCGCTCATCTTTATGAATTAGATGCTATATACCATTTTGTGCAAATACACTCAATGGTGACAGTAGTTTCATCTGATGCTTAGCAGATTTTGTGCTGGTCTCCCATTTTCATTCTGTGTGCAGCTTTATTTTTTAGAAGTGTGATTTATATGTAACAAATTGCTGGGCCTTGTTTTCTTATCCATTCTTTTATTCTCTTTCTTTTTATTGTATTTTAAAATCCAAGTATATTTATGGTTATAATTGTTGAATTTACATCTTCTATTTCTTTGGTCTTGATTTTTGTCTCTTTCAAGTTAATATTTTGTCCCTGAGATTAATTTTGCTTAGTAATTTGATGTTTGTTTATTTCCACATGCTTTCCCTCTCATTCCTGATTACCACCTCTTCAAAGTTCCTTGAATTAACTTAAATTGTTGATTTCTCTTTCTTTGTCTATACCTCCCCAGATCTCTGACCTTGCCCTTTCTTCAACCAGATAAATGAGTCATTTGAAATCTTGCCTCCCCACTCCAGCATCACAGCCAACATTTTAGCTGAAATAATATTCTTTTCAAACACTTCTGAAGAGGGATAGGGTCAAAAGAGAGACTAGAATAAATGGGGGGTAGGATAGGATGAAGGGAAATATACTTAGTTTTTCACAACAGGACTACTATGGAAGTGTTTTGCATGGCTACACATCTATAACCTGTATCAAGATGCTTGCCTTTTCAATGAGGGTGGGTGGGGAGGGAGGAAGGGAGAAAATTTGTAACCCAAAGTTTCAAAAACACATGTTAAAAATAAAAAAAAATAAAATAAAATATTCTTTTGTGGTGCTTTGTTCCAAGAAGTTTTCATTTATTATGTCCCCAATATTCCTATCCTTTTCTGAATTGTATTGTGTCATATATGGGACATAATATACATCTGTAATACATGTGTTATATATAATATTATATATGTGTGTATATATGCATATATGTATATATGTACATATCTATGTATATGTGTATATGAAAAATACACTGTGGGGAGGGAGGGAGAGAGAGAGAGAGAGAGAGAGAATACAAGGTCAAGGCTTAAGTGAGATAATGGATAAAAAATACTTTGCCAACCTGGAAGTGTACATACACACATACACATATACATATACATATATATATATTAATTATCATCATCATTATTATTGTTATTAGCCTATATTACCAAGGCTAAGTCTGGTGATGATTTCATTGCCTGGGCCTTCTATTACACTCCCCCTGAGTTCAAACAATGTATAATGGAATGTGCCAGTAAATATTAACAACTGGTTTCTCCAGGAAAAAAAAAATGTGTGCGCACACTTTAAAGTTTAATCTTACTTGTTTTAACTTTTGACAGCAATGGAAATGTATAAAGCAGCTTGACATTACTTGTGATTCAAACAATGTTAGTTGTCACCAACATGACTTTACTGTGGTATAAATTTCACAAATAAGTGCTGTTTTTCCTTGTAGTTTTATGCTGAATTCATTGTTATTCAGTCGTTTTTAGTTGTGACTGATTCTACATGATCCTATTTGGGGTTTTCTTGGCAAAGGAACTGGAGTGGTTTGCCATTTCCTTCTCTAGCTCATTTGACTGTCAAGAAAACTGAGGCAATTAGGGTTAAGTGGCTTGCCCAGGGTCACACAGTATCTGAGGCTGGATTTGAACTCAGGTGGTTCTGACTACAGGCCCAGTGCTCTATCCACTGGACCACGTAGCTGCCCATGGATTCGTTAAGAAACATCAAGTCTGCAGCAAAATCTAATTTTCAAAACCATTCATTGTTTGATAATAGTGGTTGAGGGTGGTTCTTCTCATTCAGAGAAATTTCATTCTTGGCCCTTAGTTCAAAAAATCATAATAAAACTTTTTTTTCTCTCTTCTTGTTTTGACACAATGGGTATGCACTAATCATGTAGCTATCCAGCTGTCTAGTCCAGGCCATCTTATCATCTGCCTGCCACATGCATACTCATTTCCCACCCCAATCTCTTTCCACCTCTCTTTCCCTGGCTTCCACTTGCCTATGAATGTTGTCTTCTCTTGTAAGAATGTAAGCTCCTTGAGGGCAGGAACTGTGTGTCTTTTTATATTTGTCCCCAGGACTAAGCAAAATGTGTGACACATAGTAAATCCTTGCTAAATACCTTTTCATTCACCCATTCCTTCCTTCTTTTCTTCCTTCCATTCCACCTTTTCTACCTTATACAACTTATCCAATCAGATCACCTGGGGCCTGTTCCTGGCTTTTCCTGTTTAGACCTGTTACCTTGCTGCCAGTCTTGATCCCTCATTGGCGCCATAGGGCAGCATATGGCTCATGGAGAGTCTTTAGCTCTATAGATGATGTAGTGCCTGCCAAGTGGTAGGAAGACAATTGTATGGTGTATTTTAAATGATATTTTGTTGGAATTATGCTGGGATAAGAATCATCTGAAAGTGTCATGTAAGAAGACAAAAGCTCGCAAGCATATTAACAACTTATGTTAATTTCCCAGATGAAAGATAAATATAGAAATGGTGCTCAGTAGAAGACCTGATATTATAGAGCTATAACAGTATGAAATGTGCAGTGCTTTAGAGACATAGATCCCCCAAATGTAAATACCACAGGACAGTGTGTTAGGCATCTACAAGCCCCCGGTTAGTAAGGACTTTTCACCCTCAATCTCAGTATTTTTAAAAAATTAATTTAAGATTTGTTATTGTGTATTATAGTTATTTAACCCATTCCACTTTTCAAAAATTCTAATTATTAAGAATATCCCCTTTGCCCCCAACACATCAAGATTAAAGTTGGTTCTTCATTAATAACTTACTGTGTGGCAGGCACTATGCTAAGGGCTGAAGAAAGGCCAAAACCAAAACAAATCCCAGTCCTCGCTCTCAAGAAAGCTTCTGATTGAATCTCACAGTCACATACTATTGAGTTACCCTCTAGGTTTCTAACCCTTCAACTCTTCTCAGTTATTCCCACCATAGGAATCATTTATATAGGAACCTAGACTAGGGGTTCTTAACCATTTTGCATGGACCCCTCTGGCAGTCTGATGAAATCTATCCACCCCCTTCTTAGTCAGTCAATAAACATTTTATTAAGCACTTAGAATGTGTCCTCTGCTGGGTGTT